CCTGCTAATCAACTGTCATCAATTAAACAAAGAACGTCAATCCGTAATTAAGAAACTAGCAGAGAGGGGAAAAACTCTCTGTCTCAAATCTCTCCTTTCTCCACAACCTGACGATAGAGACTGGACATCACAACTTGTCTGGAATTTTATTGAGAATATAGGGATGAGCAAATATATAAAATAATAAAATTAATCAATTAAACAGTAGGGCGGAACGTAAAAATGTCCTCTAGAAGGAAGCGTAAACCGCCCTACACTAATAATAAATATAGGCATGACCAAATACATAAAATAATAAAATTAATCAATTAACAGTAGGGCGGAACGTAAAAATGTCCTCTAGAAGGAAGCGTAAACCGCCCTACACTACTAATAAAACTCCGATAAAATTAATAAATCAGTTAATAAAAATAATCAATTAACAGTAGGGCGGAACGTAAAAATGTCCTCTAGAAGGAAGCGTAAACCGCCCTACACTACTAATAAAACTCCGATAAAATTAATAAATCAATTAATAAAATTAATCAATTAACAGTAGGGCGGAACGTAAAAATGTCCTCTAGAAGGAAGCGTAAACCGCCCTACACTACTAATAAAACTCCGATAAAATTAATAAATCAAATTATACAATGTAGGATGAAGCGAAAAAACGTCCCCTAGAGGGAATCGCCACCTGTCCTACACCACAAATAAAACTATTAATTAATAAATCAGGGTGATAGCGCAAAAATGTTCCCATAAGAGGGAAACGCTACATACCCTGAAATATTCTTTACACTTTTATTTATTTGACTAAATAAGTATTGATTGTAGATCATATTAAGCCACCATATATGTATTATTGTATTTATTAACTCCTAATAAATTTTGATTGAATGTATATCATACTAACTTGCCATAAATGCATTTTTTTTCCTCCAACCCCAGCCCCCCCCCCCCCCCTGAAGCCTTACTAGACGAAATAAAAACAAAACCATCACAAGACCAGCTATTCTTTTTTCTCTAGCTTTCTCTTTTCAGGCGCTGGATTCTTCCTTCAGAGAACCAACAACAAAGGAATGAACAACAGAAATAATGACGAAATCAACCACCATACCGGACAACAAAACCAAATGGAAGGAAGAATGGTCCAGGCCTTACACTCACCAACAAGCCCCAAGGAAGAGTTGCACCGCCCTGCCATTCAACCGGACAAATCGACCAGACCGACGAAAATGACCTAAATATATATATATATATATATATATATATATATATATATATATATATATATGTACATACTATGTCTAAATGTTTGTCTCTGTCCAAATGTTCGTCCACATTCATGTCTGTTTTGTTACAAATTCGTCTGTTTTGTAAACGTCCACTTGCACCTTTTTTTCTTTGCACCTGCTATCTCATGTCTCTTGCTGTTATCTATTGTATTCTGTACATTTATATAAAAACCTAATTATCCCCTTTTTCACTAATCACATTGTAAATTATTGCATAACATGTTATTGTCTGCGATATCACCTCGGTGGAAGCGGACGTAAAATACAACTAACTTACAACAACAACAGGAGGAACATGTACTTAACGAGGTGGATCTCTCATATTCGAAGAATTGAACTGTGTAGGTGGCTGTCTATAGTACCTCTGTCGTGGTTGCTGCATCTGGTGCTCCATATCAGATATACGAGAATTAACTGTTTTCACTGGCTCTGACAAACCCGAAATCTGCTGAAGAATTTTATTTTGAAAAGTGTCTGAAGAACTTGAAGTTGTAGATGTTAAATGAAATGATGACCCAGAACTAGCGAAATTAGAAGTGACTGGAAATATATGCATCTCTTCTTCAGCTTTCCTAACTGCAGTCATTAAAACTGAAAATGAAACATCAGCATCAAGAATGTGCCTAGTATTAGATTTGACTTGTGAATTGGTCAGGTCATGCCAAAATCTGTCCTTCAATATCTTATTTGAAGCAGGTTCAACTAGAATACCAGCATTAATTAATTTTGAAACAATATGTTTGATTTTTCATGCCCATGATGAAATGGATTCATTTGCCTGCTGCTTTGCTGTGTATAGTTTATTCATCAAGACCTCTATCGATAAAATATCACCAAATAATGGATCAAGGTGCATGAATATATCAGTTATTGTTTGAGGATTAATACCAATTAAAAATTCGGCTGCTGTACCTCGTGCGGCTCTACGAATGGTGTTAATAATCGATGGGATAGAATACCGACCTTCTCTTTCTAATCCAACAATCTCAAGACTCCGCTGGTTATAGGAAACGTCTCCTTTGTTGTTGTCTCCCGAAAATCAAGATAATCGTGGTGAAGATGCCAAAGGTAAGTATGAACTAGTTGGTGTTTCAAATCTGGAAACTGAAGAAGATCTTTGAAATGTAGAAGTTGGATTCATTTAAAGAGATGAAGAATTTTGCTGAAGTGTATGGGGTATGGAAGCAGGTGAAAATGTCTGGACTGGAGGGTTTAATTGAACTGCTGAATCTGGATAACACTGCACTGGTGTTGTATTCTGAAAATTTGATGGTTGACATCTCATAATCGATGATGGTGTAGAATTAACATACAAAGTCTCGTTGCCTGATCTTGGGGTTCTTCGCGAAGTAGAATTTCTAACAGTGGAAGTTGTGGAAGCACCTCGAGAACTGACAATTGTTCGAGGACAATACACAGGATTACTTGGGAGTTGAAACCGGACATGACAAATTTGACAAAGATGAAAATTGATGAGGAAGATTATCAATCAAAGGGCCATATCCTAGTACATCCTTACAAACTTCATATTGCAAGTCCAAATTTAATTGAGACATTACCACTTTTAATTCATTAATAATTGAACGAGTTGCGTCTTCATTTGCATTTGCTTCTGCCATTGTGTAAACTAAGCACCGATGTAACAACAAAATATTAATGAATAAATACCAAATAAATGACATATAAATTTTTTTTTTAAATTCAAATTACACACCATGTAGATGAAAATAACTAAGTGAAAATCAAAATCAAACAAAATGTAGCAGGATCAATGGACGACGGACTATCCACCTTTCCAGGTTGTGGGTTGAGCCAAAAGAGACAAAACAGGAACACGGCTATACAGTAGGGTCACCCTACTTATACTAGGGTGACCCGTGCACTCTACAGAAAGTTGGTCTCGACACGGCTAAATGTGCACGCTTCAGTTGCGTGTCTCGAACTGATTTCTGACTACCCCGCACTCTCTTTGAGTCGATAAATAGCCATGGCACGTGCAATTCTCTACAAATATATCAACTATTACAGCCGTAAAAAATCTATCGTTGACGATTTTGAATAGCAGTAAAATTGAGTTTCTTGGTTATTACAGCAGCTTTAGAAATTACGTTTGTTTTATTTTTTAAATTGCTTTATCATTAACTGTACCGTTAAGAGCGGCATCTTTTGGTTTAGTACAAATACTATCTCTGAATCACTTTCGTTAGCAGGAACATGATAATAGCAGTAGTTTCATTTTACTTTTACAAGTTTCTTAAAACAATTGTTGAGTTGTCTAAAGTGCTTATTTCTAAATTCAATTTCTTGTTCTAGCTTTCTGTTATGTTTCGTAAAAAAGTAGTCTTGATTATCCCGACCTGTCAATCAGACGTAGAATGGTCGATAGACTGGTTAAGCGGGACTAATTTCAAATCAAGGGCATGTAACCTCTCTTTTACTCAAAAGTGTCTGGATGTTATGGACGACACTTGGAACCAGTTTCCAGTCTATTATTTATAGATGATTAATGGTCATAGCTTATCAGGTACAACATGATCGTTTATTTAGTGACTATAATTGTGTGAAACTGATTTGAGGCTTGGCATAATATGCCAATATGCATAATATGCCAAGCCTCAAATCAGTTTCACACAATTATATATAAATATTGTGGCGTAATTGTCGAGATATTTGGAGATATTTATTTATGGTGGGTCACCCTATATACAGTTTATTTACAATACACACAGGAACAAAACAGGAAATTATTTACAATAGAGCAAGTAGAAGAGCACTGAAATAACAAAATGACTAAATTAGCAAATATATATAAAGGATATAGCTTAGATATAGCTTCTAATAACCAGTTATATAGTTTAGAGATATATTGCCTATTATAGGTAATAAGAATGAAGCATTTAGAATTATTATACATAAATAACATATAACAAAATGGGAAACTAACTAAAAACATACCCTGATAAAGGTGCTCTTATTATTCGAGGAAATAGAAAACTAATATTGTGGAAACCATATATCATATGAAAAGAGCGAAACACTAAAAGATAAAACAAACACCAAATTAGACATACATTTTTAAAATATAAGTTTTTACTTATTTAGATTGAATATACATGTATTATTTTATTTGTAAATTATATCAGAATAAAACAGTATTTAAATTAGAAAGGAATTGTCTTCTATTATATTGTCAAGTCAAGTTAAACAAATATAAACCTACCTGAGTTAGTGAATTCAGAAAATGATGCATCCAAGATAGAGATGTAAGAAAAAGTGACTAAAGGTGGGACAGTATCTAAGTAACGGTTTACTACTCACTCCAAATAAGGTTGAAACTACAGATGACATAGAAAAGCACGCCTACCAGCTATATGAAGTGTCTAGTTGAACAAGACTATTAAAAAACTGAGTTAAGTGACTAAATAAACTAAAACCATACACAGGACGAAAGAGGCTACTTCTTAATACTAAATATATAACAACTGACAACCAAATATACACTTATCATTTCTATCACATAAATTCTCGTAACATATTAATCCAATTAATGAGTAGATATTATTTACAGTATTTGATGTTGCTCAGCCCCGTATTTTAGCTGCAAAACTACATTTTTACACAGAGCTTTTCATCGTGGTGTTTGCTACGTATGTCATGTTATCAAGGACATTGATTATTAGTGGCTGAAGTACGTGTAGGTGATGGAAGTGTATAACAATACTGTACCTGTGACGGTAGCGGTTTGTAAGTCATCAATTGTAATTCTACAAAATAAAAGTAAAAAAAAAATGATAAATAATTGTTTCGGTTGCCAGAAGAAGATCAGACAATGTATATTTCCTTAGCATTATATCTACAACACGCGAGACGCTAGATAAATCCGTAAACAGAAGATCAACCGTTTTTTCTTTGTGGTCAAAAAGAAATAAATTGCCCTTTTCGACACTGTTTCAAATGGCAACTTTCTAGTTTTGAGAGAGAGAGAGAGAGAGAGAGGGGGGGGGGGGGGGTAACGTCCACTCGACACACACTAGTTGATATCGGGACTAGCAGGTGTTTCAATTTTATTTCAATAATTCGCTTGCGCAGGGATCTTAAGATGTGGGAGGAAACCGGAGGAACCGGAGAAAACCAACGAGGTTGTACAAGCGACCATACTTCTTGTCACGTACAACCGGGGAATAGAATGCACGGCAGTTGACTCAATGACATACCTTATGATACGCGCTAACCATACAAATTATGAGGAATTTAGAAAAAATACATACCTTACATTCAAGGCATTAAGAGATCAAATAGTTTTTAGTTTTTTTAAACCATACTGGGATGGCGGTTTTAACGGTGCTAAGTCTTTCGGTAGTCCATCAATGGCCACTCTCCCTTCCCTGTATGATTTATACGGGAAAGCCGCTTTTGTTCCGATTGATAAACCTAAGAAATAGAACAAAATCATTTTAAAGTCCCAGTACATACCTATTTACCTCAGTCGGATAAAAATTGTGATCTCTGGGGGTTTCACAATCTTACACAGCGATCTTTGGGTGATAAACATACAATTGAAGTTATCTACATCGGATTAAAATTGTGACCTCTTAAGAGTTTCCACAAGCTAAAACCATGATTTTTCCGACAACCAGGGACCATAATCCATTAAGTTACGGTCCGATACCAGCCAATATCTAAAGGAGCCAGTGTTTTGGGGATACAACCCTATATTTCAAATTTTGTCAAAATCGGATAAAAATGGTGAAAGGACGCACAAACAGACATGGGAGACGACAATATACGTCCACATGAATATTGTGGGCGTAAATAAAACCAAACTTTATACATAGACTGATGACGCGATAAAATGGGTCTGGGTCTGTTCAAAGAGAAAATATAGGAAAAACTGCGGGCTAGATTGGATTGGCTAATTATACATAAAACTTATGCGTTGATGTTTATATGTATTTACATGTATGTATTTACATATAAAGAGTAAGGTAACTCTAGGTTTTATGTAACTCGTCAATACATAGACCAAGCTTTCAAGATAGTGGGTATAACAACATTTACTTATACTAGGGTGACCCGTGCACTCTACAGAAAGTTGGTCTCGACACGGCTAAATGTGCACGCTTCAGTTGCGTGTCTCGAACTGATTTCTGACTACCCCGCACTCTCTTTGTGTCGATAAATAGCCATGGCACGGGCAATTCTCTACAAATATATCAACTATTACAGCCGTAAAAAATCTATCGTTGACGATTTTGAATAGCAGTAAAATTTAGCTTCTTGGTTATTACAGCAGCTTTAGAAATTACGTTTGTTTTATTTTTTAAATTGCTTTATAATCAACTGTACCGTTAAGAGCGTCATCTTTTGGTTTAGTACAAATAATATCTCTGAATCCCTTTCGTTAGCAGGAACATGATACTAGCAGTAGTTTCATTTTACTTTTACAAGTTTCTTAAAACAATTGTTGAGTTGGCTAAAGTGCTTATTTCTAAATTCAATTTCTTGTTCTAGCTTTCTGTTATGTTTCGTAAATAAGTAGTCTTGAGTATCCCGACTTGTCAATCAGACGTAGAATGGTTAAGCGAGACTAATTTCAAAACAAGGGCACGTAACCTATCTTTTACTCAAAAGTAAAGTGTCTGGATGTTATGGACTCAGACTAGCAATTATTTGCCCATTGACTTCAATGTTAAATGGCTGTAACATCACAGGCTGTAGCGTTTTTCTCAACATTCCGTTGGTTCCAATCTTTATAGGCACAGTGGGGACAACATTTGGCAATCTCCTCATCATAATTGACCATTTAGATTGTTTGCTACACGGATTTGAAGTTGACTGGGGTGAAAATCTCACTTCCGACACAATGATTGCTCTGCAGAAAGACACTTTACACCCCCTATCCCTCCGCTGTAATATCATCAGTATTACCCCAAACAGCTATGAAATTGCAAATTTGATCCCTTTTCTCCAATTCTAGACCAAAAAGTCAACCCAAAAATGCAGGAAGAGGGGAGAAAAAAATAAGGGAAAAATTGTCTATTTATAACTCGCACTACATTCGTCCATCATGAAATAAGGGGAAATAATGAAATAAGGGGAAATAATTACTAGTCTTAGTCCTATATACCTCACATGTTTAAACAAATCTGTTGTTATCTAATAAACAAACATATATGCAATTCCCTGGCCAAAGAATATGAAAATCTATGCATTTTCAGATGAGCTGTGCGGCATTCTGCAAACACTATAATACATCAGAAAACTGCGGAATTGCAGACATAAATTTAAAAGCACATGGATTTTGAATTAAACAGAACATTTTTATTTTTGAACATAAATGCATTCTGTAAAAAGATGAGATAAATTCAATATAAATCAAACACGAAAATACTTTAAAACAGTAATCATGATGCAATATTAGACTTTTTAACACTTTCATCGAAAACCACACAGTTTTTCTCTGTTAACGTAGTTTCAATTGCCAAATTGTGATCAAATCTAAGATGTTGAAACATGCAGTGCCTATCAATTTTAAAATATCTCCTATATAGCTGTATTTCCATAGGATAAGTAAGTTGAAATAATCTGATTATGTAACACTACAACAGCTTTTTCATCCCCACCCCCCAGTTTGGAATCTGATAATTTAAAAGCACATGAATTTTGAATTCCACAGAACATTTTTATTTTTGAACATAAATGCATTCTTCAAAAAGATGAGATGAATTCAATATAAATCAAATACGAAAATACTTTAAAACAGTAATCATGATGCAATATTAGACTTTTAACACTTTCATCGAAAACCACACAGTTTTTCTCTGTTAACATAGTTTCAAGTGCCAAATTGTGGTCAAATCTAAAATGTTGAAACATGCAGTGCCTATGAATTTCAAAATATCTCCTATATAGCTGTATTTCCACAGGATAAGTAAGTTGAAATAATCTGATTATGTAACACTACAACTGTTTTTTCATTCCCACCCCCCAGTATGGAATCTGATACATTGCTGACCAATCATAGGTCTCCCTGTTCACTCTGGCCTGTCAAATGATTTACAATGGCGATGGTGCCTACAACTTTCCTGACCAAGAGATATGCACAACCGTCGATCAACACACAAGCCATTTATGTTATCTTCCAATATGAGAGGCCATGATAAACACAAGGGCGTCCTTTTCAAGCTCGGAAATGAAGTCATCACCAAAAAGCAATGTTTACAGAGGTCCTCGGGGCTGGAACCCAAACTGATTACGATTTGCCCTCCACTTCCACCACAGGTATCATAGAGATCAGGGATGAAATTGATATGCATCATCGTTCTACTAAAGCCATTCCAGGAAGACATCAGGTTTTGAGATGTAGACCTGAAATGTTAAATTTGGATAAGAATGAGAATTATGGGGCGAATACTATCCAGGGAAACGGTCATTGACATCCAGAAAATGGTCAAAATATGGAATTCTGTCATTCAGAGGAGAAGACAGGCCGTGCAGTACCAAATTTCCAGCCCATTACTATTAGTGAGCAGAAGTGGGGATCAGGTTGGATGTACTTCTTACAGTGTATGAAATGCACATTTATCTCACCTGTTTTGCTTCTTTTTTTTTAATACTTGTGTTGAGGTCAATCATTCCACTCTATGAAACATTACCCTGGCACCTGAAATGATAGGAGACTGGGGATAAATATGCAATATGTAGACCTACTTTTTTTGTGAAAACCCTGATTGGCAAATAAACTTTGACACTTTTAACTTAAAAAGACAGTGTGTGTAACAAGTTTATCGTTATAAAAATAAAATATATATACCTCCAGCGCAGCAGTCGGCATATAGGTTTGAAAGATATGCTTTGGAATTCTTTGTGAAGGTTAACGGGTTACCTTCGCCAAAAAGATATTGTATTTGGCTGTTGCGGTCATGACCCACACAAACCAAATCAACTCCATATTTATTTGATAATTCTGTCATCTAAAATGAAATATTATGAAAAAATAAAATACATTATGAAGAACCGTTTTTCAAAACGCAATAGAATATCTAGGTGTCATTCAGACCCTCATTATTGTTTCAAATACAAAAGGATACAAAAGGACAACAACTTATAAGAGAAGCAATTTGTCCGAACAAAGCTTATTTGCTGCTGACAGGGCAAATCGATTTGGCTTTTTTTTGGGTAACTACTTTTTTCTTCTTCATTCAATTGATTCCAGGCTGGTGTTTCTGTTAAAATATGGAATATTATAGAAAGTAATTGATTGAAATTCGGGCATTCTTTCTGTCACTCAAAAATATATACATATAAATAAATAAAATAAATAAAAAACATACGAGTTTAGTTCGTTAACGCAAAAAGGAGTATGGTACCTCTGCAGTTTGCCTGCTTGAGAAATGAAATGAAATGAAATGGGGTTTAACGTCTTACTGTTCTGCTCCTAAACTGGGCTAATGAAGACGGACATACACCATGCAGTGTGCTATGAGGTAAATTTTGCCTACTCTTATATCGACTTCTAACTGCCAACGGATCTTTTACGTGCACTCCAATGTGTACAAGGGTCCTCGGTTTTTCGCCCCATCCAAACGACTAGACAGCTGTCCTTGTCAGGCCCTCCGTCATGCATCACTGACAAGGGGAAACCACGCCGGAAAATCGGGATGAACTTTCTCGGCCAATGCAGGGATCTAACACCCGACCTCCAGGCTAGCGAACCAACGCCTTACCACTTAGCCACGTGATCCCCTGGCTGCTTGAGACTCCGAAAACTAAATATTTGTCACGAACGCTACTCCAATGACCCTCCCCCATCCCGGGGCCCACACTTATAATTCAAACCTCCTCTGCGCCGCATAACTAATTACCTGTAATAACAATTTCTAGTAGTAGATTAATATATTTCAGTTTGGAAATAATTATTAGAAGTTCTTAGAACTAAAAAAATGTTGATGTCCATTCACATAATTTGATATTATTACTTGCATTATCTTGTGTGTGCGGTGCGGTCATCTTGCACTTTACATTACTAATAGAATGAAAGGCGGGGGGGGGGGGCGTCATGGAACTAAGCTTTTCCAAAAATGATAATGAAAATTAGTCATATTAATAAACAGGGTGAAGCAGTAAAGCAATAATCTGTATCCTGTCGTTTTGGAATGAGTATAAGTATGACAAAAAAGTTTAGTTTTATATGGGATTTTAAAGAATCTTAATACCTTTATTATCTTTAACAAAAAGGTTAAAGGCCGATACACCCTTTCTGTACATTTTTTTGCGGGTTATGTTTTTCATTATGTCTATTTTGGTTGCCAACCCAATCCTGAAATGATAAGCTTTAATAATAAACAAACAATAAGGCATCTAGATTGCTTCATGGAGAAAATAAGCTCTAAGTTGTCTAAGCCTGTAAGCTTATACATTTTAATTTGTTCATTTACAGAATTTTCATTTCAACGGGATTATTAATCAAATATATAATTGAGGTAAAGCTAACATGTTTGAATCGATTGGTTATAAGCATATAGATCTTCAATTATGTGACTTTTCAAAAGTTTTGTGAAATTGATCCATTTAATTTTATCCTAAATTTTGAATAATCTAATATAATTTATAAATAAAATTAAAGTAGATCTAAATCATGTAGACCTATATTTGCCGACTTACCAAAACCATTTTCTGTGATAAACCGGTTTCGGCCGCGGCCTCAAGATGGAGTTTTTGATTCAATTTTGATTTGGAATTCATCCCTTTTTTTTTTGGTAATAATAATAATTCTTTAATATTTCTCTGTTTTCATGACAAATGGTGGTTCTTTTCAACTTCAAATAAAAAGGTCTCATGATTTTACACAAAAAAATTAATCTGCATGTTTTCAATTCCAATAATGATGTTTCTGTCACGCCGAAGTATGAATCAAACACTTTCACTGAAACAGGCCTTGGATCTTAATATTAATGAGTAAACAAACTCAGTTACGCCTCTTCCTTTAGTTTTTAAGTGACTCGCTCATTGCAGCCCGATGTTAGGCTACACCATTAATGTATTATCTTACAGTGTAGGCGATGTCTTCTAACACTAGACGTCAACGGTGATATCTTTCTAACCGAGACCTCTTCCCTTATTCTAATATATAGGCCTCTACTAACTCTTCGGTGCAAAAAAGGCACACACAGAGCATTGAGTCTAACGTGGCTCGATCATATAGGCCTAGCAAAATTTATAATTTTGTTCTCTGCAAACAACCCCCTAATTACACGGAATAAGATGTTAGGATTATGAGCCACGGAATCAATATATAAAAAGTGCCAACTAGAGTAGGACGTCAACGGTCCTACCTTCCTTACGCATTCCCCCCTCCATTTTGCCTGAAATTAAGCGCGATTTTTTGGCGGTTCGGGACCATTCGGCATATTATTATAAAACAAGGCTGCAATCTGAAGAACAAGCACGAGCGTACAACATGAACCAGGAACTGGCCATGACGTCATTTCAAAAGTCGAACTCCGTCAGTCGATGCGCATTTGTTCAAATTTCAGATCGATCGTACTTGAAATGGCGGAGCCTTAGTCTTTTTTTGAAGAGCGTTGCACCAAGAATAATAATAATAAGAAGAAGAACAAGAAAAAGATTAGTAACTACATGCAACCAGTTCCTGGTTCAAAAACAATTTAGTCGGTGCTTGTGTTTGGGAGCATGACTGGGTAACAGGCGAGGGGAAATGGCCATTAAACTATACTATGCCTAGGCCTACCGTAAGGTCCACTGCAATGCAATACAAATATTTGCCAAACGTTGCAATGGTGAAATAAACCCCATACTGGCGACATTCACACACCTGGCACCCTAGCTACGAGAACGTAGCTAAAAACGTAAAAAGGTAGAGAGATGAGGTTTGTTATCTAATCGCACCCACCCTCACCAGACCTCAACGGTCGTACGGAACAGTACCCGACACTACAAAAACCGGACCGTCTGGTCGTGCGTGAAAAAGACCACATAATGATTTTCATTGGTCAAAGTTTCTCCATAGAGAATACACATGTGTTAATGTTAGCCGCTTCAATAAGCCAAAATAATAATATATATGATAAATTAATAATACAGGTCCTCTTGAAGCGGCTAACATCACTAACCCAAGTCCTCTTGAAGCGGCTAACATCAGTTGAGTCGTCTAGAAGTATAATTTGTACCAAACTTGATATGTGTTCACATTTGAACGATTTTGTATTTATGCAGTTATCAGCTATACAAACGTAACACAGATGCACACCCCAACACATATGCGCCGTTATAAATATAGGTAATTACTAGTCTTAGTCCATCTGAATGTTAAATATATGCCACTCCTGTGCCTATAATATTTGTTTGTATATTCCGATGATCTCAATCTTTCTAACCAAAAAGAGCCCAAGATGTCACAATCATCTGATATAAATATCGAAGGGTGTTGACCACCTCAATATTTTGCTACTCATGGTCAAAGGAATCTATAATCTCTGACGTCATTTTTGTGATTTCCCACACTCATATCTGTTTACTTCCTGGTCCGCCCGCCTCAAAATCGTAACCATTCACCAAATCCTGGGAGTAAATGTAATTTCAAACACTCTTCGTCAATTTTAGATTAAAAGGTCAACAAAAGAGCCATGCTAAGAAGTGGGTGTGTGTGTGGGTGTGTGTGTGTGTGTGTGTGTGTGGGGGGGGGGGGTGATATAAATTAACTCACTCCATCGTGAGTCCAGCGGAAGCAATTACTAGTCTAAAACATGCACAGTTTATCACATGTTTTCGATATGAAATTTTTCTTTGTTCTAAAGATAAGATAAAAATGGATACTAAGAAATGTACAAATTTAATAATCTAAATAGAAAAGTTACTAAAATCCACACAGCAGAAAATCGACCGCAGATATCTTTTGATGTCCAATCATTTTTCTTTGTTCTAAAAATAATCTAAAAATGGATATTAAGAAATGTACAAATTTAATAATCTAAATAGACAAGTTACTAAAATCCACACAGCAGAAAAATCGACCGCAGATATCTTTTGATGTCCAATCATTTCTCTCTCTTTCACTGCACATATGTTTACACCATCCATTATTACTACAAACGTGACTATCATTAGCTGATCCGCAGTTAAGGACTATATCATATTTTATAATTAGATCAGAAAACATCCCCCACCCCATTTTCTTTTGTATTGGCATGGTTTTTATTTTCTTGTCAGTATGGCTTCATTGCAATAGAAAAGCCTCGCGGGATTAACATTGATTGCCATGTTATCATTATATTGTATTCACCCCTTTCTTGTAATTACTTATGAATTGCAATATGCATATTCCTCATTTATTTATGCGAACTTTATAGGGTTCTCGTAAAACTACCATCTCACAATCTATTCTTGGCGTCGGGGGGGGGGGGGGGCAATTTTAAGTAAGATGTGGACCAGAATTCTTAAAAACTACCAATTAGTGATTGGATTGAGAACATAGTTTTATTGAATAATGGTGAAGGTATATGTAGTCAGATGAGTTGTGGGCACATTTGAAACGTGGGCAGCACTAAACAACGGTCATATTGTATTTAACAATTATAACCATTTAAACACCAAAAATAGACTGAAAATGTAAACCACAAGCGGACATTACATCTTGGCCTTTTTGAGTGTAAAATGGATTACGTGCCCTTGGTTTGAAAAACTAGACGTGCTAAACCAGTCTACCGACCGTTCTCCGGTTGATTGTCAGGTCTAGATATTTTCTACGAAACATAACAGAAAGCTAGAACAAGAAATCAAATTTAGAAACACGCGCCTTAAGCAACCCAAAAATTGTTTTCAGAACCTTGCAAAACCAAAAGATGTCGCTCCTAACGATATGGTCAATAATATAGCGAATTGAAAAAAAGACTGAACGTAGTTTTCAAAAACTGTTGTGATATCCAACAAGCTACATATTACTGTAATTCAGAATCGTTAACATTATATTTTTTACGGCTTTATTAGTTGCTAGTTGTATAGACCCTGTCACGTGTTGTGTGTCTGTTCTTTAATCGCTAGAGAAATCGTCATTTCGTAGAAGTAAGTTCAACTTTTAATAGTGTAAATTTGGACTGCTTGGGACACCCTGCCCTACCAACTCTAATGCGAAGGCCTTCTTTAACACTGTACAAGGTCAATTCAAGTAAAGTTCTACCTTGACTTAGCAATACAAACTGGAAATATTTTTTATTCAGATATACTTCAAAAACCTTTTTGTCCCTTAATAATTTAAAAAAATGTTTTAGAGTTTAATTTGCAGAGGAGCTAATTAATTCGCACAGATGTCATCTCTATCGTTGCTTTTGGCGTCCAAGCGAATATTGACTAATAGTCATTTTTGATTTTACATAATAAGTTTCTTTCAAGCTTTTTTATTTGCGAAAGTGTTGATGACTGTCACAAGATAAATATCATCCACAATTAAAAAAACCCCATGCACATCAATGCGAGCGGGGCAGGCTAAGCACGGGCTTTCGTCACGGAAGGGTGGGGGTACATGGCACTATTTAATAACCACGTAACTTGTGGTTTCATACAGAGAATAATAACATAACATCCATTCACTTTTCAGAAAGAAATATATTTTATATCACCATACTCAAACTGACTAATCTGAAATAAAACAAGCCAACTCTGAGACTGGTGTTTCCCGCCGAAATTGATTAATTAATTGAACATGTGTCCTTTTATAAAGAATCGAACAATCCAACTGCTTATCTATACCTAGTCTAAACATAAAATATTCATGTTTAATGGGGTTGCCCGCTCGCGCATAGCGTCTTTTTTTTTATATAAGCAATATTTTTATTCAGATTTGTATCTGAATAGGGATTGGAGAACAGGCATAGCCTACATTAAACCCTTCTCCCTGTGAGATATAAATACATGTATTTACATAAAGAAACAAACAATGTACTAGTGAAAATATAATTACAGTAAAAATATAATTGTAGTTGTCCCTGGAACCGTCTGGTGATTTCGAAAATCGAGTGGGCAGTTTTAAAAATATTGAATGAGTTTTCTATGTAGTCAATTCCGTACAATAAGATTATAGTGTTTCGATGGATAGTAGGTAAAAATTATTTATTGTATTATTTCGGGCATCTGGATATAAGGAGCAATTCAATAAAAAATATCCAATGTCTTCAAATTGATGACCACATTTACAGGATGGATTGTCAGAAATATGTCCGTTTAGATTGCTGCAAGAGAGACGCAGTTTAGAATGAATGATTTGGTTTACGCAGGATCCAAACGAAAAGGTTTTTGGTGGTTTTGGATCTTGAGCCATGAGTTTCAAATTGAAAATATTTAGAGATATTGAATTTTTTGTGTCTGCACTTAATTTGTTCCATTCACTAATTGACGATGGTATGAAAGAATTATAGAAGATATTTGTTTTACATTTATATTCGGGTAGGCTTCTTTTTCGGAGAATATAATGTGCGCTTTTTGTCAAGACTAAATCATGAAGATAGGATGAAGAAAGGCCGTTTATAATTTTATAAATGAATTTGAGTTTATGTCTTCTGCGTCTCTCTTTTAGCGTAATAACACCGGTTTCTTCATATAACATTCTGTGGCTGGTACCCCTTACAGCACCACATATGAATCCAAGTGCATCCAGTTGTAGGTGCTCTAATTTATTAGCTAGTTGGTCTGTGCAGTTGTCCCAGATGACGTCTGAATAATCAAAATGGGGTAGGATAAAAGAGGTATAGATGGTTTGTAACGATTTCTGGTTAAGTCTGCATTTAAGGGGTCTTAAACAATTGAGAGATTTGCTGTTTTTTTCTATAATGTGGTTAATATGTTTGTTCCATTTGCAATTTTGTTGAAATGTCAAGCCTAAATAGTAAATGTTTGTGATGGGGGACCTCCTTGGTATGAACATTATTTAGAGTAATGGGATTTTGTTTGGTTGTCTGTCCTAGTGTTTCGGTCTTTAGTGGGTTGAAGGATACCAGCCATGTTTTAGCCCATGAGTTAATTTTATCCAGGTCACTGTTTAGTATATTTGCGCCTTGGGTCGGGTTATCAATTTTCAGATAAAGGGAAGTGTCGTCAGCAAAGAGTCGAACATTTGATGTAATATCATTCACAACGTCATTTATATAAATGAGAAAAGGAGGGGACCGAGATCAAAGCCCTATGGCACGCCCGAGGGAATGGTTTGGGGGGCGGGAGGAGACACCCTCAGTAATAACCGATTGTTTTCTTCCCTCTAAATAGTTCTGAAACCATTGAATGATGTCTCCCCGTATCCCCGCAGCTTCAAGCTTGTGACAGTCCAGCACGCCAGACCCTGTCAAAAGCGTTACTGATGTCGCAGAACACTGATCTCGTGATCAATGGCTTGACAAAAGTATTGTGCAATATCGGTAAGTTGGTAAACACTAGAATCCCCATGGAAAAAGCCGTTCTAAGGTTAGTTAGAACAGGATTCTCCCTTAGAATGTTGAAGACATTTTTATAAATGCATTTTTCGAATATTTTAACTAGGATACTAAGTAGTGATATGGGTCTATAATTTCCACAATCTGACGACGGGTCACCTTTTTTTAATATGGCGGTTACATTGGCAAATTTCCAGATATTCGGTACTGTTTTCGATGAAAGGGAGTGGTTAAATAATTTAGAGAGAGGTTTAGAGATTTCGTTTGATATTAGTTTTCCGCTGATGTTATCGGGTCCATTGGCTTTCGAGGGATCAATAGTAGTAATGATGTCTTCAACTTCCTTCTGGCTGAGGGTAATATTAGTTAATGAGTTGGGTATTTTTTCTAGTGCAGGAAGTTGTGCATTGTCGCTATCTATGTTAATAAAGAAATCGTTAAGGCAGTTACATTTGTCGGATGATATAAGATATGTAGTGTAGGTTACTGACAGAGGCGGCAATTCATTGCTAGTGCCAGCACGATTATTTTTCATAAATGAGTTAAGGCCCCACCAATTTTTACTTCCAAAGTGATTGCAATTATTAATTTTGTTATCGATTTTGTCAAAATATTGCTTTTTGCAATTTCTGATTAGGTTTATATATTCATTTCTAATAGTGCTGAATTTATGCCAATCTGATTCTAAATTTCTTTGAAATGCCTTTTTATGTATTTTATTTTTCTTTCTACTCAACTTTCGAATCGCATTATTCATCCATGGTTGGTCTTTGAGTCTGATAGTTACTGTTTGTTTTATTAGGATTGTGTTTTTTCGCTAGCCTTGTCAGCTCACTTGTGAAGTTAACATAAGCTGTATTAATTGATTCGATGTTAAGTAAGCTTTCCCAGTCCGCGTCAGTAACTTCCCGTCGCATTTCGCCTGTATTAATATTGTTATAGTGCCAAATAACTCGTCTGTAGCATGTTTATTTTGGATTCTGGAATGAAAGTCGACAATACACAGGACAATGATCACTACAAAAATTATCTAGACAGCCTGATTCTTTTATATATAGTTTGGACAGTTAAAATTAAATCTATAAGTGAGTTAGTACCGTAATTTCCGAATCGCGTTGGAGTATTAATTACTTGATAAAAATCGAAAAGTATCATTGCATTGTGTAGAAATGATTGTCTTGAAGTCATAAAATCGATACTAAAATTGCCAAAAATAAAACAGTTATCGACATTATCACGTGCTGACTTAGCAATCGAATCAAAAAAATGTTCTTTTGTTCAGCAGTAGAACTTGGAGGTCTGTAAAAGGTACCTATTAAAATAGTTTTATTTGAAGTATTTAATTGTAACCATATGCATTCTGCACCGTCGACTTCCAGGTCAGGTCTTCTTTTCACAGAGAATGTGTCCCGTATGTAAGCCACAATACGCCCACCATGTCCGTATGTCCTGTCATTTCTTATCGGTACGTGGAAAGAACTTAGTAGTAATGTGTTGGTGTCTACTGATTTATCAAGCCATGATTCAATTAGGAGAATAATGTCAAATTTTTCGGAGAGTTCAGCTGCTAAAATATCAACTTTGTGGCGGAGACTCCTTGTGTTCAGATGGACGATAGACAAGTTGCGAGGAGGGCCAGGATTGCTTTCAATATCACTAGAAACTAAAAGGGTCATAGATATAATATTTGGGACGTATTGAAAAAATAACAAACAACAAGCAAAACTATAAACAACAGGAAAACACAAATAAACATAAAAAGTTGATGATGTACATTGGTAATGATTTAAATCATTTTGATATGTTATATAGTTATATGCAAATTTACAAAAATATTGGTTATCACATCTATATATATATTTACAAATAAAATATAGATAATCACGGTATAGCATTGATGCGGCGCTTTATGCGGATTGTCACAAAGTAAAAAGAATCCGAGAAAAACTAAGTAAACAAAAAACAACACGCATATCGTGTGAGGTGGCGCCACTGTACTGTGGTTACTCGTTACGACTGATAGCGGCAAAACCACGGTGGAAAATAATGACGATCGATTTACTGTCGGGAAATTAAAAGACGAGTTAGATAAACGCGGAACAAGGAAACGGGCAAAACATAGTCTCATTTTGAGAGGTAAGTATCATCTAGTTGCAACATCGAGTAAACATTATAATTATGTCCCTGTTTCCATTGGATTGTTCTGTGACATGTCCTTCACCTTGATTATTATATTCGTGCCCTTCACTTACCTGTATTATGCCCCAGTCAGATCGGGATGGCGTCCTTACTGTCAGAACCTTGGCGTTGGTTTTTAACATGCTCAAAACAAACGCTGTGATTTGGCGATCATTGGCGACCATGGAGATCAGAGCACGATATCTGGCGTTTTCACTATTAGATTCTAGTCGACCCAATGGCTCTTAATCATTTCATTTTAAACATGCACCATGAACAACTGTTCAAAGGCGGACTTTATCTTTGAGCCGCCTTCTACAAGTTCCCGCAAAACTATAGTCTATATGATGTATATGTACATTATATTAATATGACTAAACTTAATATCATTATAGTCTATTTCTCTAAAGTGTCCATACTTTACTTTCTCAACATCTCCCTCTTTTTGAAAAGAAAATAATTTTAATACAATTATTTCAAACTAAAATGTTAATTCACTTCCTGTGTCCTTATTCATAGAAACTATGTTAAACTAAATTCACTTGTCATTTACTTAACAACTTTAGACACATTTAAACGGTTCACTTAATCACGATATCGTACTGGTTTAACGATTGTACGACAGGAACGAAGAAGAGGTACATCTTGGTTTATATTAATACATTGTTGTAGTGGTTGATCTAAACGGCGTTCGTGTTGCTGACCCGGCTGTACAGTGTTAGGCAAATCTATCCAATCAAGTGGTTTATCATCAGACTCTGCATTCAATTTAACAATATTAGCACGGCGGAGATGTCTACGATTTCGTCGGTAAATACCAAATCTTGCCTTAATCATATAAGATCTGGGCTGGGAACATTTACTAAGTAGAATTCCTGGAGTTCCACATTTTTCCCAGCCCAATTTAACATAGATTTGATCACCGGGCAATAACTCTGTCAAATCTTAAACAGAATTGTGTTTATCAAACTTAGATTTTGTGAGTCTCTTTCCCTTACTTGGTAAAGATTTGGCCATTTAGGTCGAAGATTCTGTGCAAGTGTCGGTAATGTTGTTCTAAGTTGTCTTCCCATAAGTAACTGGGCGGGACTGGTACCTGTTGTTTGCAAGGGGGTAGCTCTATAAATAAATAAGGCTAAAGATGGATCATCTTGAGTTAAAATCTTCTTGGTAGTTTGAACCGCTCTTTCTGCCTCCCCGTTTGCTTGGGGATAATAAGAACTTGTTGTAATATGAGATATACCATAATGACTGCAAAATTGAACAAAATCTGCGGAAACAAACTGTGGTCCGTTTTATGTGGTTAACAATTCTGGAATACGAAAAGAGCAAACCAATCTTTAAATTTATTGATAGTACTTTGACTGGTAGTACTATAAAGATATACAATTTCAATATATCGCGAAAAATAGTCCACGATCACTAAAAACTGTCTATTTCTAAAAGTAAATAAGTCGGCGCCTAAGTGTTGCCAAGGACGATCCGACAACGATGTACAAATCAGAGGTTCTTTCCGCTGCGATGGTCTACTACCTTGACAAAATGAACAAGAAAAAACTTTATTTGTAATGTCTTGAACTATCTTAGGCCACAGGATAGTCTGATTAACACGTTCTCGACATTTCGTTATGCCTAAGTGTCCTTCATGAACTCTATTTATCATTTCTTGTTTCATTGATTTTGGAATAACAATATGACTTCCATATATTAGTAAGCCGTTAATTTCACTTAAACGATCACGCACAGAAAAATATTCAGACAAACATCACATTGATACTTTGGCCAACCATGTCGCACATAATGTAACACACGTTGTATAGTAGGATCTACCAATGTGTCATGACGAATATTAGATAACTGTTTATCAGATGCTTGCCAAGAACTAATTACAGGACTCACATGAACTTCAATTTCATCTTCTAAATTATAGCGTTTGTTTTCCGAATTAACAGGGCTTCGGGATAGTGTATCAGCGATTACCATATTTTTACCTGGAGTATATTCAGCTACCAGATTATATCGCATTAAGCGCATAAGCATTCTCTGACAACGAATTGGTACTTGATCTATGTCTTTACAACTGATTATAGGAATAAAAGGGTTATGATCGGTCACTTAGCGATTTGAATCAAGTCCACATAAATACTTTTCAAATTTTTCACTGGCCCACAATAAAGACGGGCATTCTTTTCCGATTAGAGCGTATCTTGGAGTAAAACGCGACTGGTTTCCAATTATTACCATGTAACTGTAAATAACACCGCCAATACCATAATGACTTGCGTCAGCACTGACCATCGTTGGCTTTGAAATATCATATACAGCCAAAACAGGACTCTAAGTTATTACATCTTTTATTTTCTTGAACGCATTATCCCGAGGCGATCCCCATATCCAAGAAATGTCCTTTCTAAGCCATTCATTCAAAGGTTGCACAATATCAGACAGATTAGGTACATAAAATCCCAAATCTTTGATGGCCTACAATGATTTCATGGGTGGTACAGAAATGTAGAAGGCATTACAAATGGCCGAGGTGACTGACCATGACGTTCTTCGTGTGGACCGCCTACAACGCATATGTGCAGATGGGTTTCGTGATTCAACACAAGCCCCCAGGTAAAGCACCCTACACATTCCACATGCTCTTTATGAACAATTTGTTGGCACAACACGAAGTAAGCAGACCACATTTGGAAGACGCGTGTCAGCTGCAGCTGAGAACGAACGACGGCTGAAACGGGATGTACATCATGACGTGGAACGGGCTGCAGATGACACTGGGAATAATGGATGTCATGTCTGCAGGGAGAAATACCTTCGGGCTCAAAGAGCCGACCCTGATGATAGAAATGCTGACTTGCCCAAGAGATGCAAGACTGTTTTTCGCCTTAACTTCTGTGAGGAGTGCTTGTGCATTGACAAACCGAAACAGAACTGCTGGTTTGAATGGCATCACAAGGTGGAGTACTGGCGATAAACAAGAAATAAGACAAAAACTCCCTTTTCACTAATTTTGCATGTATTCTTGTTTGCCAGTAAATACTAAAAGGGTTTATATGCATAAAACAAGTATATCACAAAAAAAATATTTTTGTCCATTTTTACCCCGGAGGGCTAGTATATAGGCCTAATGATGTTCAGGGCGTCACCGTCCAAAGGGTTAATCATGCCAAGTATCTAAGGTCTCTAATCGCGGAAATCATATTAGGGTGCGGATTAATACCATTTTGATTCAATCTATGACCAAAAAAGTCGATTTCAATTTGACGAAATAAACATTTTTCTTTGTTACTTGTTTTATCCTTTCTAAAGTAGCGGTTAAGTGTCGATCATGTTATTCGAGGGTGCCAAATATGAAACTATCATCCATGTAAACAGTAACATCATTTAAATTAACTAAAATATCGTTCATAATACGGGTAAAAATTTCTGGAGCGCTGGTTATTCCGAATGGTAGTCTTTTAAAACGAAAACGACCAATCTGGGCAGCTGTTGAACGAGTTAATAGATTGTGATTCATATTTGAACTAACTACATAAATTTGAAAATTATATTTCTCGCCTTTGTAAACTGTTTCAGCTGAAAAGTATCCTTTACAGATTAAGTTTCCACCTGGACTGCTTAATAAAATATTAGTTCGTTGTAACACTGGTTTCTCTACAAGTTTATTAAAAGGGACAATAACACTCTGGCCGTAACTGAATAATATGTCGAAATCTTCATTCTGGTCAACAAATTGTACTATTATACAATATCCCAATTCATTAGTGGTATATGCATGATCTTATCAACGGTATTTAAAAAAAATGTAAAAATTCCGTTGGGTGGATGGTGTTCTCACCAATTTCACAATGAGAGACTGGTAAAAACAGTCTACAAAACGGAAAAGGGGGAATCCCATTGTAGCGCATACGCAAAACGTCAAATACACCTCGCTCTGTAATGTTTATACATCTAGCTGACAGTTTTAGAGGATATGGAACTTTAACTGCTACGATTCATGCCAAACCATGAATCCATTTTTTCCCGGTAAGTTTATATTCATTACGATTATTTACTTATGCTCGCATGGCTTCAAAGTCGGCAACGAATTGCGAAGTGAATGATCGGAATTTAGATTGAATGGTTGTCATTTGGTAATGGTAGGCCTACTTCGACTAAATTATTATCAGTCACTCGACTCACTGCATGGCTTCACTTGGTTTGGTTACCGGTACCTTATTGATGGATCAAACAGACAGATTATCTTTAAAATTTAATGATTGGGTTCATACTTAGCTTTGATTAGACGTAAGACCGATATGGCTTCATCCACCTGCATTTTTTAAATTGATAATGAGTAATCTTAGAAGCTGATTATTTTTAACTTCTTGAGGTTGCAACATGGTTTCACCCTCAAAATATATAAATAATATCAAATTAAATGAATCATTCATCAGATTTATTTCTGCACTTTTGAACTTGATAATTATTATGACTGACAGTGTCCTATGTGTGTAATTAATTCATTGGTGCCAATGAAAAAGCAGTTACTTGTGATTCCTGTGGTAAATGGACACCTAAGACATGTAGAACAGGTCCGACAAATTTCTTGTGTGCAATTAGGCTATTAATTAAGTTTATTGGCTCCAATTTTCTATGAGTTAAGAAAATCCTTTTTTTATTCACTTTGCATTTTGGTTTTACAGGTATTTCGAAAGCTGTCTATTTGAGGTCAGTCAAAACTGGGAGTGATCTACCATTCTTGTGTCGAGCATGCCAGGTGTTGACCCCCCCCCCTCCCAACCGTCTCTACTTTACCAATTATGCCAGAAGCCACTCATGCTGCCCAACCTTCAACATCCACATCTACATCAAGGACAATTAGATCTTAACGGAAGCTGCAATTACATGTTACGTCATCCGAAACCACCCCACCGAGACCAAAAAGAGGGAAAAGACAAAAAGGGAAAACTGAGTCAACAAGGGAGAGGGTCGAAAGACTCAAAAAAGAAAAAAAACTGAGGGACTCAAAGTAAGAAAACTCTTTTTAATAGTTTTTAAGATATAAAGAAATATTTTGTAAGCTCACAATGGATTATTACTCACGCACTTATCTTGTAATTATATAACAAATATATATATATATTTCTGGCCATAATTATATAAAATATTTACATAGTATATGAGCCCAGAGATAATTATTTACAAATTGCAAACATAATTTTCAACTAGAACTGCGACGCAGTAATGACGCACTATGTCACTTCCGGTACCGATGAAACCATTAAACAGGTTTCCATGTAAGCATTTCACACATCAAAAAAAATGTACGCAGAATCAACCAAATCCGGCAATATCAATTCATTGTATACATTTGTTACACGTAAGTGATCCTGACAAAATTACA